GTGTGTGTGTGTGTGTGTAGTGTGTGTGTGTGTGTGTGTGTGTGTGTGTGTGTGTGTGTGTGTGTGTGTGTGTGTGTGTGTGTGTCTGTGTGTGTGTGTACACTATTCATCATATACAAGATGTCATATAAACAGAATAATAACATTTCAAAATTAAGCTTTATGTAAGTATATCTCGAAAACTAAACAAGATTGCCGATTAATTTATAAGGAAAAGTTGATTAGGTGATCAGTATCTTCACTTCTATAATATCAAGAACCTCTAATATATCAAGATCAAGATCATTGGAGCTGCATTTTAATGTAAAGAAATATCAATTCTATTTCAATTTCTTTTTATTTGCTTTTTATGAACTTTGTAGTTTACTACTCGTTTTACGATCTATAAACTTTTCGAAATAGAAGTTACTATCTTTCTTTTATGTACTCAATCATCAAATATGTAAATGTAGATTATTAAAATGATAATATACATCTTTTAAGAGTATAAACCGAATTATTATCATCAGTTAACAGGAACGTTATCTTCTTACGCAATCTTTTTAGAATGCACTGTAAATGTTGATATTGATAACATTAAATCAAGTCGTATTTCGTATTAGGTATGCGTTATAAATATGGATTTAATGATCTTTGGAGTCCGCATAATGCCACACCTATTTTCTTAAATAATTCGATATATACGTCATTTTTTACTGCGCAATTCCAATTGTATTTCTTCCAAGGTTTTACCTTCGGTCTCGGGTACAAATAGGTAAATTAATACCCATACAAGAAATGTTATTGCGGTGAACGTCCATAATGGTGCAAACGTGCCGTATAATTCTTGCGTGACCTATAAACACAGTACAAATAGTTCTTGCTATTACATTATTACATTTTACAATATTTAGGATTATAAAAAATAAAAAAGTTATTAAGTAAATTTATAAAAAAAATTAATGTTATACTTTAAACGTGACTCATTTTTTTATCAAGCAGGTATAATGTTTATCAGTAAAGCAGTTTTCTTATGTAACCGGTATATTATTAAAATTGCAAATTTAATGCTAGAAAATATATCTCTCTCTTAACAAGTACTGAAATATTGATTGCTTATTAAAAGCATGTAATTTGCATACTTAGGTACGTCGAAATGTATTTAATATCATTAGAAATGAAGAGTCCTTTTTGACTGTCAGAATTATTAACCGATGTTATATCATATATCGTGCCGTATAATAGTATTATGAAGCAAAGAATCCTTTTTGGCTAAACCTCTTAACCGATCGTTGTTGCCGATAACCCGCTTACCGCCCTCTCGTCCGCGAAAACAAAATCGATTCTTACACAGACGTCAACGTACCTGATAAAATTTCACAATGGCGGTGGTGCTTATAGCGTAGTAGAGAGCATTGAGCACTGCGGCGGGTACTTTGACCTCAACGCCGAAGATCTCGCCGATATACGCCAGCGGTATCGGATTAAGGCCAAATCCGAAGCCGAGCACGTAAATCACCACGAAGACCGTGGGCACCCACTTGAATCGAGAGACATCGTAGCCGCTGGACTGCAGCTCGAAGAAAATGGCTATTGTCGCCAGCGATATCACGCAAATCGGAGCAGCGATCAGCAGCAGTAGTCTTTTGCCCGTGAAACGCACTATCGTCACGCAGGCGCTGCCAGCCAGGACGATGGCGATGCCTGTCAGGATGATGCTGGTGTTGGTCGAGATCTCGAAACCAGCCTCCTCGTATATATATGACTGATACGCGAGTACCGGCGCCGCGCCAGTCAATGTCAGCCCGCTCAATAATATCATGGCGATTCGAAAGGCTCTCCTGTTCTGAGCCTTAGTGACGATCTCCTTTAACGTTTCTCTGAGAGTCATCTTGGTGCACTTGTCCTCGGTCTCCACGATTCGTTTGACCTCCTCGAGTTCTTCATCCACGTTCTCCTTACCCAAAGCCCACTGAAGAGTCTTTTCCGCGGGTCCAAGTTTATTCTTCCGCGTGAGGAACACCGAGCTCTCGGGTAACCACATGAAGGACAGTAGAAATAGTATAGGCGCGCACACGGCTATCATCGCCATCGCGAATCGGCTGATCCACAAGCCGATAGCGTAGATGAACAGCATTCCGATGTTGATTAGAACAGCCATTAAAGTACCTGAAGGCCTTGCCTTATATAGCGATACGTATTTTAAAAGTACTAAGTAATCACGAATAACGTCATTCAAGTGCAGTGCAATTAGTAATTATACGATCGTTAACTTTATCCCTGATCTATTAGATATAAAAATATTAGTTTATTAATCTTTTTTAAAAAAAATTAAAAATATTAATTTTACAAACCATTTTATGATATATATTTAATTAATATTAATGAATAAATATATGTATTTAATATTTATATTTAAAATAATAAATGTGCGCGACATTGTGTCGATACAACAAACAATCAAATTGCAGCACGGTAAATTAATGACGTATCCAAAACAGCTGATATCGCACCTAGAGGACCCCTAGTCCGTTTGCTGCTGATCTCACCAAGATACATGGGCATTACGGCGTACGTTATGCCACATCCGATGCCCGCGAGTATCCGTCCAATGTATACGAGCGTTACAGACGTGGATAGCCCAATGAAGAGCCACGAGACGATCTTCGGTATCGTGGTGACTAACAAGGTTCCCTTACGTCCGATATTGTCCATCAATATGAAAGGCACCAGCGAGCCGATGCCAACTCCCACATACATGAGGTTCACGATCCAAGCGATCTCGTTGCTTGTCACCTTTAAAGGGTCCTCGCCGTTGAATTTTGGTATGGTTGGCGTGCTCCATCCTTCATGGAGACCGCAATCAATGATCAAGATACTGCCTGGGAAGCGGTAAGAATTTTCCAAAGTAATTCAGGAAAGACTAGTTCCAGCCGCCTTTGCAATTCCATCCGAATACTTACATACGAATCCAATCAATATTTGTCGCAATATACCGCGATCCATTGTGTCCAATGTTGTTCCTCTTGCTTAATTATCGTACCACGGATTAAACGCAGCGAAAAGTAATTCGTAAGTAGCACGAGGTATTTGTATTTGTGTAACACGATTATAATTGAAGAACATTTCGTGTCTGCAAACGAGCACCTTTCACTTATTTCTTCGATTTCCAATTGCCGATCATAAATATTTATTATATATATATAAATAAATGCATGTTATTATCAGAATTTATAGATGACACGATCTATCGATTATATCTATTCGGTCTTGAGATTAGCTTAAAGGTGTAACTGCATAGGAACAACAACGTTATCAGCACTAAACAAGCGATTAAAGTTTACTTCATCCAGCTTGTACATTCCGTTGTACTCCAATTCGAGCTTGAACGCGCTCGCGCGAAGATGCGAGAGATTTGAAAATGCGAAATTCCATCTTCGTTAATTATCGCGATCGTAGGAGCGCGCGCGTGGCTGATCCTTCTAATCTGGCGACGCCGGCCGACCTCCAAGCCAAACGGAGATAACGGAGATAAAGCCAACAAGGATACTAACTAGATTCCGCGCCACATATCTCCCGACTGAGGGTGCGATACGGTCACACGTGTAAACGGCTACGTCTGCACGCATGACCGCTGCTGCCCGCCGCGGTCGGAGAGCACTCGCTCTTGCTTTGTGGCACGCGATGCGATGCCTCCCAAAGCGACAGTTTATGGCTGGCCATACAATACACCTATTAAGAGACGGAGGTCGAACTAGATGCGTTCCTTAACATGAATTTATTGCCCACCATGAAACTCATATACGCTTTGACGATTCGCCATCCACATCAGAATATCCATCTAGGCGGATGCATCAACGGGTGACTGATTAAGAAATATTAAATATAGCTCGATTAAGAAATATTAAATATAGCTCGATTTCTCGTTATGAAAAAAAAAAAAATGCTCAATTCTCAGCAAGCTGTTCACTATTTAGTCGATACAATTAGTCATTTTAATTTATAACTGTATATGATAACGAAAGGACAATGAAAGAATAAAATTTTTATATAAAAAAAGATTTAATTATCTTATTTTATATAATCATGATGAAATATGCAACTATATTCACGAAGTAATTATTCTCTGATGAACTCAATTCAATTAAGGTACGGTATAAACTGTCGCTTTCTATTTACATATCCTATCCTATTTTATTTAGCTTGTCGTTTCCGATGAAAATAATTACGATTATTCAATTTTAAATTATATGAAACATCACGACTTCATAAATAGAACGATGCTCACGAAAGCTTCGAAAGCTCAACTTGCTGTAAACGCTTCCACAAATATTTGAACCGTTCTATTCCTCTTACCATGTGCCTGCATACTAATGCCGTCATTTTCCTAATAAGTGTTTTATATAGTGTCTTCTATTTTTTATGCTTATATTTAATTTAAAATGATATCAACCTTAATTAGCAAATTTATGATCATTTTGAGTAGAATATGTAATCCACTTTTAATTTTTTTTCAAATGATAAATAAAGAATAAATGTAGATTGTTATTTTCGACAATACGTGATAAGAAAGATGCTTATGCTTTGAAAATAGAAACGCTATTATAATAGCGTTCGTTACAATGATTAAAATTGTTCCGTCTTTCTTTTGTGAGACATCTATTGTTCTATAATCTAAAATAATTCATCTCTCTGTTTCGTAACTATTAGAAAAACCACTAATGCTGAACGTTCAAGATTGCGTAATGTGCAACTGGCGCGTAATAATGATAGCTGCGAAGATTTATTACTTTAATAATATACGGATCGTAACCGCGATAATTACACATAGTATTCGATTCTCTTTTCCTTCTTGTTGTAATATTCGGATTTAGAGCGAGCAATAATCTTTCGTAAGAGTAGAAAATAGAAAGGACCCTATCCCAACTGGCTAGAACGCGCTAAAGAAAATTTAACTTAACAACCAAGCGATATCTAGAATCTCCTCTGAGTCTCTGGTCTGGAATCTGGTTCTCTCAGCTTGAGCAGAATCCTTCGAGAAAACCGGTCAAATTCTCAAAACCAGTTAGTTTACGTCCTTTTGTCTTGTACAAACAGGTTGCCGAAACGACCGGAACATGCCGAGTCGTTGCATCGGCGGTTTATGCCGAGACGTTTCCCGTCGTTCAGCCACTTATCATCACCGAGGTGCAAGAAGAAAGGCCCACGGTTACTACCCCAAGGTCGTCACGTCCGGAGGTGCACGATATTTCATCTTAACTGCGTCGTCGATGAACGGTTAATCGCAGTCTCTCAGACCCGGGAGAGACAGGCTTGGGTTATAGTATATAATTATGTTTATCATATCTGTTATTTTTTTATTAACGCTCGACTCGGAAAAAAAACATACTAAATTACGATTTTGATAAAACCATGATTATTAAAGAATAAAATGTCACACGTATATTTGTAATTCAATTTTATACTGCTTCTGTATAAATTATTGAATTAAAAGTATATATTTTTAATTTAATTTAACCAAGATATTTATAATAACGAAAATTGGAAAGCAACAGATGATTTATTTTATATCTTTATTAAAAAAAACTCGAAGAATTTATATATGAAAAAGTTGATCGAATTTATCGAATTCTTTAAAAAAATAGATAGCAATATGAGCGCGATTGAATTTATTATATTTTCTTCGAATTGATAATATAAAGTAATCAGTACCTTTTCACTGTTTGCTAATTAAGCTATTGCTCTACCGTGATGTTTCATTATACATAGCGAATATAATATAATAAATCATTTTATCTGTACGCGTTACAAGCATTCGCTAACGTGAAACTCGAACAAACATCGACCCGATTAATTGACAGTTATATACATAAGAGTCATTATACGTACACGCATATTTTATCTCAATCACGTCGTTACACCTGATTTAACAATGACATGCCATTATCATGCGAGGATTTAATTCGCCTTGATCAGCGAGCTGTTACTTAATCATGGAAGGTAGCTAAATGCAATCGGGAATTACTCAATCACGCTATTTGATGGATATCGAACGGATGATGATACGAATCGCATTTTTCGAACGTGGGATTACGATAGCATAAATGTCGATACCATTTATTCGTTGTTTATTTCCGTATTTGAATCTTTAATGCTAATTCTCGTACACTAATCTAATTTTGTGATGCAAATAGTCTTAAGCCTGATCGTCTGGCGGTAAGTATTTATGGTAATCTTCTAATAGTCGTATCATTTAAGTAATATATACATATGAATAATTGCATGCATTATTAAATCGCGGCACAAGTTTTCAAAGATAGAATTCTGACATGAAAATTAAATTAAATTAAATTTCCATTGTGAGAAAAATTTTTTTCAAGACAAAATCTGCTTCTAATTTATTACGCTCACCATTTTACAATAGCACTAGTCGCACGCTTCTGGGAAAGTGTTTTCTTTTTTTAAAATTGTTTAAAATTTATTTACATTCCACGACAGATCTGATTTCTAAAGTCTAAGTGCTGCCAAATGCACGAAAGATGCAGCGAAAGTGTACTCGCGAAAATAATTATATCGAGAGTTCACGTTGATAAAGCACCTGTCACCACCACGATAATCGAGAATGAGATGCCGAGATCTCGACGCGCGTCGGCGACAACGACGCCGTTGTCATTCTGAAAGACGCCGGAAAGGAAACTGAGCCTGACTCTGATACGCAGGCACGTCACTGCGATTTTAATCGAATCCCCTCCTGTCCGGGACGAGGAACGACAACGTAGGCTGTAACCGCTAATTACTTTCCCGCACTATTTCTGGCGAGCGCAAGGCTCTTTTTCCACATGGTTTTTCCTATCGTTCTATTCTTCTGCTCAGTTAGCCGCTTTTTAGTGCCAAGCGCGCGGAACGCGCATGTCACGTGTCGCGTATTTTGAAAATCGCTCCGACGATTTTTTTTCCTCCGCTTCGGCAGGCGGGCGTGACGGGTATTGGTGTCAAATGGCAGGAACCTGGGAAAACTGATACGCTCGCTATTAATTCGTTGTTATTGACTGTGGTGGGTTTAACTACGGGATGAACGCAATAACATGTGTGTTTTCGCATCCACGTGCAAACATTTGCTAATTGAAAGCGAGAACGCGATCTATAAATGTTTATTCTATGTCTATGTCATGTTTATTCAATATCTTATCTGAGCGAATAGCAGACGATGAATGTAAATTGCATAGTTTTATTCTAGTCATTATGCTATACTCGGTGATTTTCACGGTTACATCTAGGAAATCTCAAGAAGGACTGACGTGAATGGAATTATGAAATTATTCCACGAAGGCAAAATATTATTCGCATTGAATTTCAACCTCGGAACATAAAAACGTAAGCCTTGTTCGGGAAAAAGTCATTTCTATCCTTGAGCAATGTTGTAACAGCCTGCGAGTTAATTTCATGTTTAATGCAGATAACATTGAAATACCAAGCGTTTCTATATATTTTAACATATATATATTTCCTGTTTTTAAAATTTCAGAAAAATAATTATGGAAGCTATTTCTTACATCGGCAGCATTATTCATGTTGAAATACCAAGAATTAATATCTCACGCTGATTCCAAAAATGTTAGGGCTTAGAAATTTGATTCAATATTTATATCGCGAACAGGAAAATCTAATAGAACGTAATTCGCCAAACTTTCTCTCGATCATTCGCGCAATCGGTTCTACTTCAATGCGAACGGTTGACCTGACCGACGGCGATCCATTTTACTGGCGCAACGATGCAATCGAGGAAACATCTGACGTGTCTTAACTTTGAAATTGCATTGGTGATTTTCCATGTGGCGAATGATGTCGTGTGTCAGACTGATTTAAGAACGTCATTGTCGTTTCCGTGTGATTTTTAGCGCATACATTGAGAATAGTATAGCAATTTTCAAAGCACGTTACACATTCATCACGTTGCGAGTTTATCTTGACTTAATAGTTTTTTTTCTCTCTACGTAACTCAGATCTTTGCATGTTAATATACTTTTGCGCGTTTCAATTGCATAATATCAATTAACGTGCAGGAGGCGTTTATATATCCTAAGGCAA